TTGTGCCAGTAACAAATTGCTTTGATTACTGTGGCTTTGTAGTAGAGCTTGAAGTCAGGGAGTGTAATCCCCCCAGCTTTGTTCTTTCTCGGGATTGCTTTGGACATTCAGAGTGTTTTGGGTTCCATATGAATTTTGAAGAATTAATACTTTTGGTATTTTGATAGGGACTGCATTGAATCTTTTAATTGCTTTGAGCAGGTTGGTGGTCACTTTAACTCAGTTTTAAAGTATGTATTATTTTGGTGGTTGTTTTGACTTTTTTTCTGAGAGTGAAATTAGAGTAATGAGTGAAAAAAGTGGACATTTTTACTTTTTAAAATAAATCTCAGGAATGTATATTTAATGTAAAACTTGCAGTCATTGTATTTATTATAAGAAATACATTTATTGAGGAATTTGGAAATAAAGGAAAATTTTCCTCTACTTTTTCTATAATTCTCTTCCATCTGTTTTTTTTTAAAAATAGGACTGAGTGCTTGTCCATAATCATCTAAATTCCTTGATTCTGTGTTTACTGCAAGTCCCATTTCCTTCATGATGCCTTCCAGACCATTTCAACCATAGTGATTTCTTTCTCTATTAATTCCTAAATTGTTAAATATTCCACCTTAAGTTATAGTTAACATAACCTTGCTAGTTTATGCTTTATCATCCTTCCTCAGGATAAGAACCATTTTTCTACTTAATTGTGCTTTTTATAGTGTCTGATACTATGTATATATTAGGAAATCAAATACAGTTGACTATTGAAACTGAAAGGAAAACTGAGTGGCAAGTATTAGGTCATAATTTTCCACACTAGGTATAAGTAGATGGACATAGAATGGATAATAGATACAGGTTAGCAAAAATAAACTCCATAATCCAGCAGTCTTTTCATCCCACATCAATATTTCAGTCCTGTAGTACAACTAAAATTGGAGTGCTTCTGTTTCTCTTCATGTTTCTATTACATGATTAATGTGCTAATGGAAGTAAAATTTCAAAACTCTAGGAAACAGACCAGGAATGCAATAGCCTCTTCAGCTCTTAACTACTTTTATTGAACTTCCTTCTCTGTTTAAGATACTAAGTAGCTGTTTCAAGTTAGACATAACCATTTAAATTCCTTTTTGAATTGAAGTATACAAACTTTTTAATCTAATGATTCTACTTTTAGGAATTTGTGTTACAAATATAGTTCAATATGTGTATTGAAATTTGTTGCAGTATTGTTTATAACAGCAAAAGGCAGAGAAAAGCTTATGCATACATCAATCAGAGTAGTTAAAATTCATCCTTCAGTGTAAAGCTTCTGTTAAAAGAATAAGATAAAGCTGTATGTATAAACATAAAAAAGGTGTCCAAAATGTATCAAGTATAAGAATGCACTACATTTTTTAAAGTTTTGCATATAAACACACTTGTATGTGTGTTTATAAATTAATACATGGACAAAAAGTGGAAAAATACCACCAGGTTGGTACATCTGTTGCAGATGGTGAACCTACATTGGCACATCATAATCACCCAAAGTCCATAGTTTACATTATTGTTCACTTTTGGTATTGTGCATTCTGTGGATTTGGACAAATATATAATGACATGTATCCATCATTATAGTGTCATAGTTTTTTCACTGCCCTAAAAACTCTGTGCTCTGCCTATTTATCCTCACCACCTCCCACCCCCAAAACACAAACCTTTAGCAACCACTGATCTTACTGTCTCCCTAGTTTTGCCTTTACAGAATGTCATATAGTTGGAATCATAAAATATGTACCATTAAAGGAATTGATCCATTCCATCTAGTTTAGCAAATTTGTTGGTATACAGTTGTTGATAATATTTTTGTTATCCTTTTAATATCCAAAGAATCTATACTGATGGTCCCCTCTTTCATTTCTGATATTAGTAATTTGTGTCCTCTCTTTTTTTCTTACCTTGACTTGCCAGTTTTGCTGATGAACCAGTTTTTTTCAGTGAACCAGCTTTTGGTTTCATTAATATTCTCTATTGACTTCCAGTGTTCAATTTCATTGATTTCTACTCTAATTCTTCTATTATTTCTCTTCTTCTCCTTGCTCTGGATTTAATCTCTTTCTAGTTTCCTGAGGTGGAAACTTTATTGATTTTAGATCTCTCTTTTCTAATACATGTATTCAGGACTATAAATTTCTTTCTGTTCACTACTTTCACCATATCCCACAGATATTGACAAGTTGCATTTTAATTTCCATTTAGTTCAAAATACTTTTAATTTTTATTGAGAATATTGCAAAGAAATGTGTTGCTTAATCTCCAGATATTTGAGGATTTTCCAGTTATTCTTCTATTACTGATTTTGTAGTCTGAGAGCAAACATTGTATTATTTCTATTCTATTAAATTTGTTGAAGTCTGTTCTATGCCTCAGAAATGTGATATGTCTTGGTAAATGTTCCATATGAGCTTGAAAAAATGTGTATTCTGTAATTGTGGGATGAAATAGTCTATAGATATTAATTATGTCCATGCACTTGATTGATGATGTTGTTGAATTCAACTCTGTCATTACTGATTTTTCTCCCTGGTGGATCTTTCCATTTCTGATAGAGGGATGTTGACATCCCCAGCTATGACAGTGGGTACATCTATTTCTCCTTGCAGTTCTATCAGTTTTTGTCTCATGGAATTTGATGGTCTGTTGTCAAGCACAAATGCATTACGGGGCTTTATGTCTTAAAGAATTAAGCCCTCCATTTTATGTAACGCCCTTCTTTATCACTGATAACTTCTTGCTTTGAAGTCTTCTCTGTCTGAAATCAATAATAGCTACTCCTGCTTTCTTTTGATTAGTATTAGCATGGTATATAGTATGCTCCATCCATTTACTCCTATTCTGTATGTGTCTTTATAGTTAACAGTATGTTTCTTGTAGACAACACATAAAATTGGTCTTTTTTTTTTTATTCAGTCTGACAATTTCTTGTCTTTTAATTGGTGCATTTAGGCCATTAATGTTCAAGGTGATTCCTGATATAGGTGGATTAATACCTACCATATATGTTACACAGTTTTCTATCTGTTGCTCTTGTTCTTTGTTTATGTTTTTGTCTTCCTCTCTTGTACTGTCTTTCACAGTTCTAATTGATCATTTAATGTGATTCCATTTTCTCTCCTTTTTAGCATATCAGTTATACTTCTCTTTTTACTTGCTCAAGAATGTTTTCATTTCTCCTTCACTTTTGAAGGATAATTTCAAAGGGTACCAGATTCTAGGTTGGTGGGCTCTTTCTCTCACTGCATTTAAATATTTCATTGTACTCTCTTCTGCTTCCATGATTTCTGAGGGGAAAATAAAATGTAATTTTCATCTTGGCTCCTCTATAAGTAAAGAATTTTTTTTTCTGGTGTCATTCAGGATTTTTCTTTATATTTGACTTTTTGTAATTTGAAAATGCTGTGCTAAATGTAGGATTTTTTTTTAGCATTTATTCTGATTGGTGTTCTCAGAGCTTCCTGGATCTGAGGTTTGGTGTCTGACATAAATTTGGGTTAACTCTTAGTCATTATTATTTCACATATTTCTTCTGACCCTTTCACTCTTTTTTTCTTCTGGTATTCCTGTTTTATGTATGTTATGCCTTTCATAGTTGGCCCACAGTTCTTGAGTATTCTGTTCTGTGTTCTTTCAGTCTTCATTCCCTTTGCTTTCAGTTTTGGAGGTTTCTGTTGCAATGTCCTCAAGCTCAGGGATTCTTTCCTCTGCCTGTGTCCAGCCTGCTAACTAGCTCATCAAACACATTCTTCATTTCTCTTAGTGTTTTTGAGCTATAGCGTGTGTTTGTTTGTTAGGATTTCTGTCATTTGCATTGCTTGTACTTGTATGCTGTCTGCTTTGTCCATTACAGCTCTTAGCATATTAATCATAGCTGTCTCAAATTCACAATCTGCTAATTCCAATATTGTTACCATGTCTGGTTCTGATGCTTGTTCTGTCTCTTCAAATTGTGTTTTTGCTTTTTGGTATGTTTTGTAATTACTTTCTTGATACTAGGTAAAATGATGTACTAGGTAAAAAAGAACTGTAGGTTTGTAGTAATGCAGTGGTAAGGTGTGTGGGGAAAGGAAGTATTCTATAGTCTTTTGACTAGGTATCAGAGTTTCAATTGGAGCCTCTGCTTCTGGACTGTGAACTTGAACAAGTATTTCTCAGTTTCTTCTCCCCTCTTAGGCTTGTCAGACAGTTAGAGATGACCAGACTTGGGTACTTCCCTCCCACCGGGTCAAATAGGCTCTGTTAAATACCCTGCAACAGATTATGCTCTGGTTAACTAGCTTCTCCTGAGGGCAAGCCTTGTTAAGAACAGAATGTTCTGGCATATTTCAAAGAATTCCTTATCCTTTCCCCCTGTTGGATATATATATATAGGGGTTTTCCATTTACTGTGGGAATCTGGTTGAACTCCTAGAGATGAACTCATAAAAGTTTGGGAGCTTCTCTATGATGGGGTCCCCCTGGTGTTCTTCTCTCTCAGAGTTGTTCACACTGAGCCCCCAGCAATTTGTCAATTACAGTTCAGGTTTTCCTACCCCAGCACTGGTTTCCACGGTGACTTCTCCTAAATCTCTGCTCTGGTAAGCTGTGTGACTCCCTTTCTTTCCTGTCTGCCTCTGTAATCTTGGAGACAGTAGTTGACTCTGTGTTCTTCTCACTCTTACAGATAAGAGAGTTGTTGATTTTTTCCCCCTCTATTCAGCCTTTTACTTGTTAGGACAAAGTGACAACTTCTAAGCTCCTTACAGGCAAAACCAGAAACCAGAAGTCCCTATTACTTTTTAAGTTTTAAATGTATAGGGAAAGACCTGAGTTTAAATAATAAATAAGATGACCCAAATAATGCTTTTTATTGAAACCATTTTGAAAAACTTCACTATTAATAGGTTATGAAGTTTTAGAATATACACTGTATATAGTTTTATTAAAAATAAGATATGCATTCTTCTGTCACTTAAGTAGAAATTTTTATATTTTAGGTAACATTCAGTCATCCAAGCCTAGACATCCAGGACAGAACTATAGAATATGTACAGCGGCAAATATCCAAGGAATGTGGAAGCCTGAAGTCCCAAAATAGGGTAAGTAAGCTTAGTTTATCTTCTTATATGAAACATAACTAATTAACATGTGTGAAATTTTCCGGTCCCTCTAATACTGCATATAGTTGCATTATACCAGAGAATTTTTATTGTGTAAATTTGCTTTATAAACACTGTTAAATTCCATACATATTTCTGGTTTGAGTCTGGGGGGAGTGCATTTATCACCAGATTAGAACCAACAGAAATTATATATTGTTAATTTAATGGGCTACATCCATCACTCTACCTTTAGCCCAGATTTGAAATTTGTTTACCCCAATTCCAAATATATGGGGAATAGAAGTTTGTTTCAACCTGGGCCATGTATATCTAGGTTGTAGACTGATAGACTTGTAGACTAGTCACTGTGTCCAGGATAGAAATGTGACTACTAGGAGCCCGTTTGTATGGGTGAAGAAAAGGGTCACTTTTATTTATAGCCCATTTGATTTATCCCAGATGTTTACTTTGCTCCCTGGCCTCAAGTTGACAATATACCCAGAAGGGTTAGAGAGAGTATTTATATGCTGAGAATAGCGGGTTGTTTTAAGTAAGTTTCAGAGACTTTCATGTAGCCAAGCTATAAACATGATTGTCTTTGTACTCATTTGCTAGGGCTGTCATACTAAATGCCACAGGCTATGGCTTGAACAAAAATTTATTTTCTCACAGTTCTAGAAACTGCAAGTCCAAGATCAAAGTATTGGCACACTTGGTTTTTTCTGAGGCTCCTCAGCTTGGGTTGCAAATGGCCACCTTTTGGCTGTGTTCTCACATGGCTTTTCCTTTGTGTACCCACCTCTCTGGTGTCTGTCTGTGTATGTTCAAATTTCCTCTTATTATGAGGACACCAGTCAACTTGAATTAAGCCCTATCCTAAGGACCTTGTTTTAATTTAATCACCTTTTTAAAGGCACCATCTCTAAATGTAGTCACATTCTGAGGTACTGGGGATTGGGGCCTCAACATGTAAATTTTGAGGGGACACACAGTTCAGCCCTTACTATTTTACCCTCGGGTCCCCAAATTCATGCCCTTCTGACATGCAAGATATATTAACCCTATCACAACAGGCCCAAAGTCTTGACCCATTCTAGCATCAGTTCTAAGTCCCAGATGTAAATAGTATCTAAGTCAAGTGTGGGTAAAATTCAAAGTAATACTCATCCTGAGGTAAAATTCCTCTCCACCTGGGAACTTGTGAAACAAGACAAATTACCAGCTTCCAAAATACAGTGGTGGGAAAGGCATAGAGTAGATATTCCCATTCCAAAAAAGGAGAAGTCAGAAGGAGAAGGCAGTCATGGGTCCCAAGCAAGTCCAAAAACTAGCATAGCAAATTCCATTAGATTTTAAGGCTTGAGAGTAATCCTTCTCTTTGGCTAAATGTTCCTGTCCTCTGGGTTCAGATTGGTAGTCCCTGCCCCCTTAGGAGCCATGGGTGGTAAACTCATTCTTGAGACCCTAGGTTTCCTGGTCCACTGAAAATAAGGAAGCAGTCCTGCTCTGTGGAACTGAGGAGAAGAGAGCCCCACCTTTCGGGTCTTTCTCCCCTTTTCTTAAAGAATAGTACATGTAAAATCCTGTAAATCCTAGAAGTCCAGTGGCCTTCCTCTTCATCCCCAGCTATGTCTTTCAGTCCAGCATGGTAGTCCTTTCAGCTGGGATGGTTGATTGGATCCATGAGTCACGCCCATCTTCTACCATATGTTGTCCAAGCAAACCTTTGGTATTCTCTCCAGAACATGCTTTCTCAATTTTTGTAAAAACACATTGGTCAAGATTTTTCCAACTCTTCAGGTTTTGGTTCCTTTTTGCCAAAAAATTAGTACTTCAATTTATCTCCTTCCTTTCACATTTTACTAAAGCATCAGGAGAAACCAACTGACACCTTCAACACTTAGCTTAGAAATCTCTACTAAGTATCCAAATCCATCACTCACAAGATTTCCTTTCTACAAAACACTAGAATACAATTCATCCACATTCTTGGCCACTTTATAACAAGGACCTCCTTACCTCCAGTGTCTGATAATAAGTTCCTCATTTCCATCTGATCCCTTAACACAAGGACCTTTAATGTCCATATTTGTACCAATAGTCTCTAAAAGGCTACCTAGGCTTTTTTTAACAGTCACCTCAAAACTCTTTTAGCACCTACCCATTATCAAGTTCCAAAGGCATTTCCACATTTTTAGGTATTTGTTATAGCAAAACCCCACCTTTTGGTACTAAAATCTGCATGAGTTGGGGTTCTCCAAAGAAACAGAACCAAGAAGATGTGTATTTATACTGCTAGAGAGATATGAGGAATTGGCCCACATGATAATGTAGGCACATATCCAAAATCTTCAGGTTAGGCTGTCAGATTGGAGGCCCAAGGAAGAGTTTCAGTCTATATCCAAAGGCAGTCTGCTCTCAGAACTCCTTCTTGCTCAAGCATGGTCAGTCAGTACTGTTAAGACCTTCAGCTTAGTAGATGAGGTCCACCTACATCATGGGGGGTAATCTGCTTCACTCATAGTCCACCAGTTTAAATGTTAACCTCATCCAAAAAACATATTTACTTAAACATACAGAGAAATATAGAACCAAATACTGGACACTGTGGCCAGCCAAGGTGACACATAAAATTAACCTTCACAGTCCTTACTGCAGTTTTCTTCTCTTTTCCTTTTTTAGGTTCCTTCGAAAACAATCAGACATGTCAGCTTTCAAGATGAGGATGAGATTGTTAGAATAAACCCTAGAGATATCTTAATACGTCGCTATGCAGACTACAGACATCCTGACATGTGGAAAAATGACTTGGAGAGAGACGATGGTGACTCCAGTATTCAGTTTTCTAAACCAGACAGTAAAAAATCAGACTATCTGTACTCTTGTGGGGATGAGACTAAGTTAAGTTCACTCAAAGACTCTGTGGTATTTAAAACACAGCCTTCCTCATTAAAATTTAAGAAGTCAAAACGAAGAAAAGAAGATGGTGAACGTTCTCGCTGCATATACTGCCAAGAAAGGTTTAATCATGAAGAAAATGGCAGGGGAAAATGTCAGGATGCTCCAGACCCTATTAAAAGATGCATATATCAAGTTAGTTGCATGCTCTGTGCAGAGAGCATGTTGTATCATTGTATGTCAGACTCAGAGGGAGATTTTTCCGATCCCTGTTCATGTGACACTAGCGATGACAAGTTCTGCTTACGATGGTTAGCCCTGGTAGCTTTGTCTTTCATTGTGCCATGTATGTGCTGCTATGTCCCTTTGAGAATGTGCCATCGTTGTGGTGAGGCATGTGGGTGCTGTGGTGGGAAACATAAAGCTGCTGGGTGAAAGAATCCAGTGCCAGAATGAGCTTAAACTCTTTGTTTCCAGGAATTAGCTAACTTGAATTTATGGAGGCTTTTGGCAAGCAATATGAAATCTTGCCTGGTGTCATTGGGGCCACACGTGGAGGAAGCAGAACTCAGCAGTTCTTAGGCATTTCAAGATGCTAATAACCATGCCTGACTTTTTCCCTTGAGTGCATGGCATGTTTTGTTACAGGTTTTAAAGAGTGTTCGCAAAAGGAAACCACTTCTGGTTATTGGCTATAAAAAGTGAGCATAAAATATGATCCAACTAAAAGGGATTAATTTTTGGCATTTTTTTATACTTATGCTTAGGTGATGGGATTTTTAAAGGTTTGAATTCATAAAGACGTGAACTAAAAGTGCACTAAGGGACATTTTATTTCAATCTAAGAAAAGTTAACACTTGGGAATTTTAAGAAGTAAAAGAAATACAACTAAATCCTTTATTAGTTGTTTTCTGAAAGCAGTTTTATGTATAAATAACAAACGTTTATATTTAACTAAATATAAGGTACGAATTATTACATATTAAACTTTTTCTTCCCTTTCCTAGTTCTGAAGTAGATGTACATGTTATCTACTGTCACATTCCATTATATTTTGAATATTTTACTCATCTAGTTAACAATGTTTTTTATTCCATGTGAATGATTTGATATTTTCATCCTCATTTGCCTTTGGCTACAATTTACATTGAATTGTATCTGTACATTCTGGTAATCGAAAATCCTTAAAAATATCTTAATAGCCTTGAGTGACCAACTTTTTTTTAAAGCACAGATGTAATTGTCTAATATTTGATGGGAATGTAACACTTATTTTTATATAAAAAGACTGGGTAAACATAGAAAAAAGTGAGTTTTTTGGGTTGTTGGGTTTGGTTTTTTTGTGTGTGTGTGTGTGGTATTCAACCAGCAAGTTGTTTTCTTTCAGAGTTTCCTCCTTCAAAAAATCATATTGCATTTACAAATGTTTTACAAGGCAAAAAGTCTAACTGGATAGTTGGTGTAAAAGTTTTTTTTCTTAAATCTCCCATTTACCTTTCTGCTAAACCAGAATATGTTCAGCCGTGTTACTAACTTTTTAGCTTAATTCTCAGTTCTTATCACACAAACCAATGATAATTTTTCTCAGTTGCATTTTATCCAAATGGGCCAAGAGCAAATTATTTTGTTAAAGTGTGTGGTAAATGATCCCAGGAAGGTATTTAATCCAACATTGTGAATGAAATATCTTGTACATATAAATTTATTTCGTTCGCTGAGCATCATATTACTAGGTGTTTTATTTACAAAGTAGTTGGATAAATAAATATTCCAACAAATTGTTTAAAGTACTGTGGGATGTTTTTTTTAAGTGTTATATTAAAACTCTAACAAAATGGGGGTTCTTTAAGAACATTCCCTTAGAGGGATTAAGTTGAAAAGTGTGCCTTTTTTTAATGGCTTGTACATTCAGAAATGATGATAATTAAAATTCACACTACCATTTGAAGCTCATTTTCTATGCAGGTTTTAAAATGTCATTTATGTATCATTCTTTTTATGTATCCCACATAAGGTTGTGTTAACTTTTCTTCTTCTGCCCTAGATCAAACTGAACAGTGTATATAACACTACCTGTCTGTAAAATACTTTTTTTTAAGAAAGCATTTATATTTATATGACAGCTTGAACTGACAACATTGTGTATATAGGTCATCTTGAAGTATTATTTCACATTGAAAAGAAGAAAAATATATTGATAACTATAGATGTTATGAAGAAGAGGTTATTTCTAGTTTTGTACTAAAAAATCAATTGGATGAACTAAATCCAAAACATGACTGTAGCAGAAGTTTTAAGTCTTCTTTTTACTGTTTATATATTTGAACACTGCTGCACCAGATGATCTTCATCCCTGAAGTTTTCAGCTAAACTTGGTTTCCTAGGATAGACTGTTAACTTTCAAAATTACTTTTTATTAGTGAGATAGAAATACTGGTTTTCCTTGTGATGAATGGATTTTCGTATTTGTAAGTGCTGAGTTTATAATTCAGGTTTGAGCAAGGGGTGAATAACTGAAGAAAATAACTTGCTGGCTATATAGGAAAATGCTGTGGAACTGTGTATATATTCTGGGAGGAACAAATTTAATCATTTCTTCTGTTAAGCACTAATCAGTATAGTGCAACTCCTGGTTCTGTACTGTATTTTATATGCAATATATATGCTTTAATATTTTAATGTTTGTGCATTAATATTTTCAATTTGTTTAACCACTTTGCTGCTAAGATTTTGCCATCCCCATTTTTTTCCTTTACAATTTTAAATAAGTTTCTTCATTAAAAACTGGTAATGAAATGGTTTTTATTTCACCCCGGATCTTCATAGTTGATAACACCCAGTTTCCAAATCAGTCTAGAACTCAGTCTAGAGGACTAACTGGTAATATAATGTCATCTAAATCCCTGTGTGAAATTTTTCTCTTGAGTAAATTAGAATTCTTATGTAAAAACGGATAGTTTAAATTTTTCATTCTTAAATATGCATAGAGGTATATTCATGAACATTTTCTCTTTCTGCACAGAGATGTGGCATTTACTTTTCCTCTAAAATCTTTGTTTTTAATCTGGTAGTATAAGCAAATGGGTAATTGAACTGCTTACATAATAGTAAATATTGTAAATGAAATCACCTAGATGGCATGACAAGAAAGACTTTGGTCTGATGGCTTGTGCTCAGAATTGGTATTTCCTAAGTGATTTTTCTCCTGCCTTAACGGGAATCATTTGATTACTGAATATGACGTGTGGAACTTCAGCACCACCTACTGGATTATTTATAGACCAGAGACATGAGGTGGTAATAGGGATCTAACAGGGTTCATCACTACTACCAGTAAAGGGCTATTTAAATGGTAGCCACCTCCAAGTAGGGAAAACCAGGAGTAAGAAATGTCTCAAAGGAACTGTAAAATGAATCTTTTTCCTAATGTGTCTTACTGGTCACTGAAAGATTTTAAGCACTTTTTCTTACATATCCTGTTTTAAAATATTTATTGATATTTAGAACTGGCAATCAAACTTAACAGATGTGCTGAAGCATTTATAGAACCAATTATTTTTCACTCACAAAAGCCATTACCAAAATGGTATTCTCATTTTTCCTCCCATCACCAGTCAGGGAGAATTTTTAAGAAAATAAACATCACCTGTATTTCATCATGACAACTTCAGAGAGTGTGTGTATGTCTCTGGGATAATGTTGGGGCAGGGGTTAAAATTTAAAGGGGAAGACTTGAAACTACCTATTTTCATTGGTTATTCAACAGTGCCTAAAATGAACTTTTGAAGTAATACAAATGCACTTTCAACTCATGTGTTTAGTGCCATCTGGTATCTTGGGTAAGTCTTTTCTTTTTTCTTCCCTCCTCCCCCAATTAATGTCACAGAGATGTTTTTTAATATAGTCTCCAAAGGACAGGAAGCATGTGCTTTCCTCCAAATGGGCAATTTAAAGAGTCTTGAGCATGTTTCTTCTGTTAAAGTTTTCTTTAGGTTTTGTGGTTACACCTTGGAATAAGTGTTTAACTTTTGCCCAAAATATATTAAGTAACATTTTTCTACATAAAACGTTGAAAACTTTACTTATCTAGAAGATAGCTTTTTACCTAAATATTGTCATTCTTCATTTGGCCTCCACAATCACATTTCTAAGTATAAGGGAAAGCACTAGAAACTTGCATTGTTGCACTTAAAAAAACTTGTCTGTAAGTTAATAATAGCACCATAAGATGTTTTGCAGTGAGTCAAAATGTAAGAAAAGAAATCACAACCTGAGGTGATTTATATAAACCAAAAAAAGGGCTTTAAGGTATTAAGGTACTGTTTGCCTAGCAGCCAGGTGGTTATAAAATTTTCATAAGCTTTGATAAACTGATGTTAGCCATTGTTCCTGAAGGCTCCTTGAATTGCATAAGTTGCTAATTTTGAACTTTTTCAAAAATCTAGTTGAAAAGCCTTTGTATTAAAGATACATAGATTTTTGTGAACGTTGCCAGTATGTAGTGTCATTTGCTTTCTATTCTTGACCTCAAAAGTGCCTCACTTGTATATTACTTCCATTAAAAGCTTGACTGCATTCTTTCTAATAAGCAGTGAAAAATTGTTTAGCTCATGTCATAATGTATCTCCTTAGATAGTTAACTAGCTTGATAGTTTTGGATATATAATGTAAATATGCATATATAAGTTTGTAACTGTTTTTGTTACATCATACCCATGTAATTGGACATATCAGATGATATCATAAGGATTTGTTTTAATACCTAATTAAACCTATCATGAAATACAAAAGGACTTTTTGTTACTCTTCTAGAGGAAAACAAACTCACACGAGAATAATTACTAAAGGAGAAAACAGTGGTAGAAATAGAAGCTTTGGATCATAATTTTTTAAGACATATTTTTAACTGAAAGTTCATGCATAGTTCATTATAATGACTTATTTATCCTTGATTATATCCAGATTTTTTAATAGTCTGTTAATACATTATATTTATTGGTTTGGGAACATGTTACAGTTAAGTGTGGATTTACCACCTTAATGGATATATGGGAAATTTTTAACCCAAGGCTACTACTGAATTTTTTGTGTCCTAGTCATTTTCAGTTTTACCTAACTTACTAAACAAAAATAACTAATAATCTAAATAAAAAATTATTAGGATAGTACTCAAAAAACTATTTATTTCAATACCTGGAATAACTTTTGGATTACTGTATTATAATTGCATTTGAAAAATCAAGAATTAACTATTTATACCTTTACCATAAATTGTAAAATATAGTCTCATGTGCTTATTTACAGGTTTTCAGAAATTTCCTTTATATTCTTCACATCAAGTTAAACCCCACAAGTAAGTAGAATAGTTTTTACATCAGAGAAATTGAAACTAGGGTTTATGCTTGACTTTTGGTATAATGTCATGCACACAATTGTCCTTAAAGAAAACAAAATCAGTATTATGAAAGCTGGAGCTGAGTTGACTACTCTTAAATTAACTGCTCTAAGATTTTCAGTTTTAGATTCTTGAAAGAATGGCTTAAAATATATTCATAATAAAAGTCTAACAAAATCATAGTTGAAATGGTGTTTTCTTTTGTCTAGCAGTCTTAATATTATAAATGACCCTATAGTTTTTAGCTCTCAAATAACTTTGTAATGAAAGTGTTACCCTTCTCAGTTTACTAGATTTCAGCTTTGAGAGGTTAAAAAATATTTGCATGACTACATTAGAGGCACCAGGGTTTGAACCAAATTGTCTTAGGCCAAAGACCGTGCTTTTAGTCACAATAGCAGTTTTGTGTTTTGTTACAAGGGTTATAGGTATACTTCATAGAATAATCTTGTTGTATTGAGATGAAATTTTAGGCAGAAAAAATTTCTTAATTTCCTCTCCCTTTCGTTTTATTTCTGGGCCCCTATTCATCTCCTTCACTAGTCTGTGGTGTACTGTCCAAGTATGGCAGTGGGAATCTTTAAAATAGAAGAAAACTGATAATGCTCCAGGATGTCATCAACACTTATCAGGCATGTGCTGATCCAATAGGAAGTCTCAAGGACAACATACAGTTCAATGAGTGGGTTCATTTTGCTTAATTGATGACATTTCCCTAGTATTCTGAATCTGATGGATTCTTTTACACCAAAGCAGTGATACCATCACTTGAAGCAATAGATAATAGTGTTCACAGATATTCTGCACTCTTTTAAAATGGTGAGCCATTCATATGTCAGTTATTCCACAGATCCTGTCTTTGAACCAGACCTGCATTTAGTATAAGGGCTGCTGCTTACACATTTGTCACAGTGATGAAGTTAGTGGACCCTTTTCCTTCAAACCTAAGCAAGAGACTGTGTGCAGTTTTGAAAGAAGGACAGGAACAGTTCCACAATCTCTAATATTGAAGTAAGATCATTCTGGACAATAAAATTTAAGAAGACCAGTTTTTCATTTCCTTTACTTAGTTTTGCAGTGCCAACTTTTTAGATACTACTTTAAATGTTTTTTTAATTGTGATATGAATCTTATGTATATTACTTGTCAAACATAAACCCCTTTTGTGCCCTCCATACTTCCCTCCCTGCTTTTCCCTGTTACAGGAATAATGTCTACAACTTCTAACCTGTGAGGGGAAGAATTCCTAAAGAAGAAATTTCAACAGTATAATTCTTTCTTAAGTTGTTACTTTTCCCAAGAATGGTCAACAAACTTAAATGTGTGTCTTTCATCAGGAGTAGCCAGTGTTTCACTGTCTCTTAAAATTTAAGAGAAAACAAAGTTGTATGAATTCCTGAGCTCCCAGCTGGTTAGTAGTTCTTGTTAGATTCTAAAAGCAAAACACACCAATCACATGATATTCTAAAAGTTCTAGAAAGGAAATAAGGATCCAATCCAAATTACTGATAAAGTTGAGTTCTCTAACATTTTAGGACTGGGAGGCACTTTAGTGATTAGTACAGCACCCTTATTTTACAAATGTAGAAACAGACCCAAGAAGGTTAAGATATTAGTGCAAGGTCATTCACTTATATAGTAGCACAGCCTGTAGTTCAAACCTACACATCCAACCGCCTAAAATGCATCTCTTACAGGAACCTCAAATTCAATTAGCCCAAAACTGATTTTCCCTATTCCTCAAACCTTTTTTTCTCTTCTCTATCTTGTCAGATGGTAACACCACTGTGCATCCAGTAATGTAAGCCAGAAACCTGGTTATATCATATATTTCTCATTTTCCCTTATTTTTTTTTACCATCAATTCTGAATTTTGTATAGTGTTCTATTTCCTAAATGTCCCTCAAATCTGTCCATGTTTGTCTATCCTGAGTCCTACCATGGTGGAAGTATCTTCCACTACTGATGTTTGGAAGTGATCCCATACTATGGGGATTAGGCATTGAATCACTTGCACATCTTTATTTTTAACAAAAGATGGTCTGTATTTCAAATATGACTGGAAGGTGAAAGTGCTTCCAACAACAGCAAAATGTTTGCCTGCAACCAGATGGCGATAGAAAGATACTCAGATGTAAGTATCCCCAGAGTCAGAGGACAGAAATGGAAATAGAAACAGTGTATGTTGGGATTGAGGAATCGAATGATGGTGACTTGAGAAAATCGTTCAGTACCTGTGACCAACTAGGGAATTAGGAGCAAGTTGAACTATAAAATACAAACTTAACAGAAATTAAACTTTAAACTGTATGTTCACCTTTCCTTAAGCCCATCCCCTTTTTTCTGTAATATAAGCTTATTGTGTGTTGTTTGTTGTGGTGGTCATTTCCTGAGAACATGGGTGAGAGAGAAAAGTCCATTACTGGAAACCTTTGAGATCTTATTGCTGATAGCATTATAAGCAAATCAGTAGCACCATAATCAGATGAGCCCATGTTCAAAAGGTTTTCTTCTCATTTTACAACTCATTTTTCCCTAAAGCAGCATCAAGAATAGCCTAGTAGGTACAGATTTCTTTCCCTTTTGAGGGTCACATCTCCAGGCAAGGCCAACTAATTACAGGACAAGTGGGAAAAGAACCATTCAGGTTAAAAGGGAAAGAAATGCAAAGGCTCTGAACAGAAAGAAACTCGGCTCATGGTAAGAATGGCAAGAAGGATAGTGTTATGCGAGCAGGCAGAGTTCAGGAGCTCAAGAGAGGAGATGAAGTCACAGAGATGGCAGGTGCCAGATCTTGTGGGGACTTGTAGGTCATAGAAAGGAGTTCAGATTTTATTCTGAAGGTGATAGAAATCCATTGAAGAGGGACATTTGTGACCCGGCTGCTCTGTGGCCTTTATTGATTTTTTTTTTTTTTTAAACAATACTGGTTTGAGATGTTGGGCTGGAATTGTATTACCCCAAGCTTTACCCTGAAGCTGAGGTGCTCTTGACAAAGTTCTCC